ATGTGATCAACCTTCTCCCAAAACGTGTAGCTTGTGTGTTGTTATATGTTAAGCTATGGGTAGCCGTATGGCGTGAATCCTAGATTGTGGAATTTATTGTGAATTATGGCTTTTTGGCAAATAAATGCATTGTTTGAATTAAATGTAAATGCATGATAATTGTGATAGAGTTCGTTACCGTTTAGGTGGTAAAGCGATGCTTATTGCTGTTTGGCAAAATTGATGTGAATGTGTATAGATTGTATGTGATAGCATGAGATGAATGCATGAATATATTATAAATATGTATGCATTTCAAGAATGTCTTGAGTCATTTTGTATGTAAAGCATAATGATGTACGTTCTTGTCTGGTTTTATTCTAATGAGAATCCGTTGTAACATCGTATGCCTATGTGAGGTGTGAGCGATGATTACAAACGATTGTGTGCCTATGTGAGGTGTGAGCAATCGGATTGTGTGCCTATGTGAGGTGTGAACAATCCATAAACATTGTGTGCCTATGTGAGGTGTGAGCAATGGGTGAACATTGTAGGCCCGACGGGGAGTTACATTGGTAACGAGCGATGGTTCCAATAAGTTCCTGAGTGAACTTGAGATGATTGAGTCGGTACCGCATTGCATTTGCAAAGAGTCGTGAGTCGGTCTCTATGATTTGCATTTATCATCTTTATAATTGTGCATTGGTGTATAAACATAAATGTGTATGTTTATGTGGAATGATAGAATTGTGAAAGTATGCATGATGAATATGCTTGGTTTCATATATGTATATATACATTGTGATGTATATGGGTGAGTTGTGATGAATTATGGTAAGAATGTAGAATATGTGTATTTTTATGCTATGATATATATAATTATATGCATTGTTGTTATGATACTATTTCTCACCCTTCTGTTGTTTTATGGTGCTCTATGAGGCATTGCAGAGTAGGTATGCTGGAGGTCTTTTTGTGAAGTGTGTCTTCATTCTTTTGGTCAGTCGGCTCTGATATGTAGCACCGGGTAGCTAGGATGTTCATGATTCTTTTGCGATACATTTGTATATGTATCTTGTTGATGTATGTTTATATAAACATGACTTATGTTGTTGAATCATACTAGATGGTATATATATGTATATATGTTTGATGTTATTCAATGTTTAGATTTTCCGCTTTTATTCTAAATATTGAGATGTGGGTGTAAGGACTAAGTTCCTCTGTTGCAAAGTTACCCCACTGTTGCATATCTTTTGTTGAGCAGGTGTTGTATGTTTTACTTTTGTGCATAATGTGATGCGCCTCTTTTATACTATGTTTATAATTATACTCTGATGAAAACTTTAATATGTGACTAGTTGATTATGTGATTATTTTGGGGGTATAGAAAGGGGGTGTTACATTAAGTGATATCAGAGCCAGTGTTGAGTCAGTTGTGTCTGTGTTTTTGTTGTGATGGTTGAACGATTGTTTAACCTTGTTGTTATTTTTGGGAATGGTCATAATATGGCTGGTCGAAACGACAATGCGTTGGCTGCTGCTTTGGAAGCAATGGCCAGGACAGTGCAAGGTGCACCGAACGTGAATGCTAATGACGAGTTCAGGAAGAATCAACCACCGGTCTTCAAAGGAAGATTTGATCCCGATGGTGCCCAAATTTGGTTGAAAGAGATTGAAAGGATCTTCAGAGTCATGGGCTGTGCGGAGGGGAATAAGGTGAGACTTGAGTCTCACATGCTGCAGGAAGAAGTCGATGATTGGTGGATCGGTATGCGTCAAGTTCTTGAGGAGGATGATGAAGAGATAACTTGGGATTTATTTCGTAATGAGTTCTTGAGGAAGTATTACCCTGAAAGTGTGAAAGGGAAGAAAGAGATAGAGTTCCTTGAACTGTAACAAGGTAGTATGTCAGTGGTGGACTATACTGCTAAGTTTGTAGAGTTGGTTCAATTCCATCCTCACTATGCTGCAATTACTGCTGAGTTCTCAAAGTGTATTAAATATGAAAATGGTTTGCGTCCCGAGATTAAGCAAGTTGTGGGATATCAAAGGATAAGAAGGTTTACGGATTTGATGGAATGTTGTAGAATCTTCGAGGAAGATAGCAAGGCTCGTTCTACACATTACAAAAGTTTGAATGAGAGGAAGGGCAATCAACAAGCTAGAAGTGGACCTTATGTGACACCCGTTGATAAAGGCAAGCATAGGGGAAACTTTGATAAGAGATCTAGAGGAGGTTCTGGTTCCGTTAAGTGTTACAAGTATGGTGAAATGGTTCATAAATCATTTGAGTGTGGGAAGACTGTAGTGAAATGTTCTAACTGTGGAGGCCTTGGGCATGCTACTACTGATTGTAGGAGGAATGTAGTGAAGTGCTATAATTATGGAGAAGTGGGTCACATTAGTACTAAGTGTACTAAGTCGAAACAAGCTCAAGCGGGCGGAAAGGTGTTTGCATTAGCTGGGTCAGACACTACTAGTGCAGATCATTTGATTAAAGGTACATGCTTTATTAATAGTACACCTTTAGTTGCTATTATTGATACTGGAGCGACTCATTCGTTTATTTCTCATGAGTGCGCTAAGCGTTTGAATGTTCGTGACTTCTTGGGGTGGTGCCATGGTTATTAAGACTCCTACCTCGGGGTCGGTAACTACATCTTTGGTGTGTATAAGTTGTCCTTTGACCATGTATGGTAAAGACTTCCACTACAAGAAAAAATGAGATTTACGACACTTGAGTTGTGACAGTTATCACAAAACCATCCTTATTCCTGGATTGCGACGGTTGTCACGACAGTTAGGATCAACTGTCGTAGATTTTTTGCGACAGTTATCAAAAATCCGTCCTTATTCCTGGACTACGACAGTTCTCACGACGGTTTAAGCCAACCGTCGCAAATTTTTTAGGCATGTTGTATAAAATAATGCGACAGTTACCAAAGAACTGCCCTCTTTCCACACTCGCGACAGTTAATGCGAACTGTCGCAATTACTTTAACCAATTATAATCACTATTTTTTTTATTCCTTTAATTTTCCACTTTTTCTTTCATTTTTATTTACTAACCTTTTCAATTTTATTAATTAATTTAATAAATAATTATTATAATTATTATAATTTTCATGACAATGTAGCTTAATATTTTTGTCTAAATAATAGTAAAATATTTTCTATTATATTATATAAATAGTTAATTTTTATTAAAATTAATTTTAGTAACAATGTTAATATATATATATATATATATATATATATATATATATATATATATATATATATATATATATATATATATATATATATATATATATATATATATATATATATATATATATATATATATATATATATATATATATATATATATATATATATATATATATATATATATATATATATATATATATATATATATATATATATATATATATATATATATATATATATATATATATATATATATATATATATATATATATATATATATATATATATATATATATATATATATATATATATATATATATATATATATATATATATATATATATATATATATATATATATATATATATATATATATATATATATATATATATATATATATATATATATATATATATATATATATATATATATATATATATATATATATATATATATATATATATATATATATATATATATATATATATATATATATATATATATATATATATATATATATATATATATATATATATATATATATATATATATATATATATATATATATATATATATATATATATATATATATATATATATATATATATATATATATATATATATATATATATATATATATATATATATATATATATATATATATATATATATATATATATATATATGTTTTATGGAGATTATAAATACATTACAAATTATAAATTATAGATTAAAAACATGTTTAAGCTTTAAAAAAGTATTGAAAAAATATTTCAGAAAAACAACTTCATCGAAACTGTTTATCAAGCAGAGTGAAAATTGTAGACTCCACCTTCTTCTTCTTCCTCTCGCAAACGGTTTCCGAAAGATCCCAAAACCCTAAACTCAACCATCTTCAATTCGACATTTAATTCCTTTTTAATCATTCCTTCTCCAATTTAATCTCTAAATCCCTCGACATCTTTCAATTTTCCGATCTTGTCTTTCTCTCAAATTCTGTCATGAAACCCCTTCATGAATGTATCTGTGAAGACAGAATCGGAATCCACAACAGTTTTCTCAATCAGGCTCACGAATCTCTCGATGCTACAGGCGATAACCTAAGAAGAACCGCCACTCGTGAATTGTCAGAAAACTGAATTTCATCTTGCTTCATTGTACTCTTGAGATGTACCACAATGACAAAGTCACGTGTTGTTGCTCCTTGTTGACTTTTTCTCTAGCTTTGACCTATTTTGATAGATTTATCAATAGTTTAAAGTTTCAGAAGTTTAAGCCATGGATGATAGCTCACTATTTTTTATTTATCACTTACTGTTTAAATGGAGTTAACTTATATGCCATTTCCTTTAGAACTTTAAGAATTTTTTATCTTTGCGATGAAGTTTAAGTTTGTGTTGAAATGCCTTTAATTTTGTTTTTTTTGTTAGTAGACAGAAGAATCTAGCATCATAGCCAGCAATTATGATTCAGGGTAAGGGGCAGGTGGTGGTTTCTTATTTACTATGGAGATGCGCTGGTGTTCTTTGTTTTATAGTTTATATCCATTTGACAAAAGTAAAAGCATAACATTATCTCTTTCTTTATTGCTTCCATACTTTTATAACTTGCCAATGTGATCTTTTTAATAACATGTGTCACATATTTATTTCTTACATGTCTGTTTTCATAATCTTAGGTTCAGCTAGCACGTTACAATCCAGACTATCTTGATCAGTCTGTTTTATGGACTGAGAGCAAGGACCAGGGTAGCGGCTACCGAGCTATAAGGATGGTCAATAATATTCATCTCAACATGGACGCTTTTCATGGTGATAAAAATTCTAGAGGTGTACATGATGGCACCACTGTTGTCCTCTGGGACTGGAACTGTGGTGATAACCAGCAGTGGAAGATCTTGCCTTACTGTGAGTTTTCTATCCATAATATAAATCAAAATCTCTTTTTCTGTGTATGCCTCAACAAATGTCTAATCATTTTTCATGTTTAACTGATTATACGTTTCAATAATGGAAAATGCAGGAGTACAACTGAAGCCACTGTCAATGGTTTTGAAGAATAATTATCTATATCTATAAGTTGGGAAGATTGTTGTGTCTTTTGTTTGAGTGGTTTGCATTTTAGTTTGTTTAACTCTGTTTCTTAATATATAAATGGTTTGCAATGAAGTTATTGATATAGAGCAACCAGCTATGGATTTTTCAATAAAACAAGTTTGTTGTCATTTGGTTGTTGTATACCTGTATTCATTTTATGTGCCTCTTTATATCTTAATGTGATTCAGTGTGAACCATTATTTCAAAATCTACTATCCCATAATAATAAATTTATTGCATGATCTTATAAACTTACCCTTTCACTTAAAAAAATTTACACTTTATCATGGGTTAATAATTAACAAATGTTTCAATTAAAATACTTACAGTAACTGTTGTTGTGGCTTGTTGAACCCAAATACTTTTTGGTTGCAGTAACTGTCCATGTTTTTCACCCAAATCAAATCGGTTAACAATGGTTTTCAAAGGATTTCGTGAAAAAGTTTATACTCTATTTTTGTGACTTTGTTGAGTTTTAATTTGTCTTCTACTGAGTTTTAGTTTGTAACTTTGATTTGTAAATGATTTTACCGAAGTGGTTTATTTGTCACTGATTTATTTTACATTTGGTCATATGTTGAATTTCTTACATTTCAGGCTTTTTACTCAACAATCTCAAGGCCAACTCTTTTGCTGAGTTTTAATTTGTCTTTTGATGAGTTTTAGTTTCTAACTTTGCTTTGTAACTGCTTTGACAAAACTTGTTTATATGCTGAATTTCTTACATTTCACATGTTTTTCACTCAATAATGAGGTGCTCCAATATAAGTCATCATTCCCTAACGAAGAACCAGAGGAGAGAAGAATGTCTGACTGGTCAGATTTAGCTTCAAGTGTCACATTTGTTGTTGGGTATTCTTTTCTTTAAGGCCATCTTTGTTAAGGTCCTATATGAGAAAGGGGACTGACATTTTATCTAAGCACTTATCATCCACATCTGCTTGGATATGATAATTTTTAGAAATTTATATGAACTGTTCATGTTGACAAATTTTTAAATTTTAGGATATCTATTCATGTTTACGGTGTATCGGTTTTTAAGTATGGTAGACAACATTGTGAATTTTGATACAATTATTATTTTGACAAACGTTTCAGGCCTTGGAGCTGTCTGGAACACTGTAAAGGTGGAAGCAGGGTCAATTGTTGCCGTTTTTGGTCATGGAACTGTTGAGCTTGCTGTGAGTTTCTAAAAAGACTAGTACCTAGATTTTCGCTTTAGGTTTGTGTTGGAGTTTCTATTATGTCACATAATTTACACTTGACAGGTTGCTGAGGGTGCAAAAACTGTTGGTGCATCAAGGATTATCGGTATATATATTGATAGTAATAAGTTTGGTTTCACAAAAGCTAGTCGTAACTATTAATATTTAGTACCTTAATTCGTTTTTTTTATATACTTTGCAGCGAAGAGATTTGGAGTGACTGAGTTTATTAATCCAAAAGAACATGAGAACCCAATTCAGCAGGTTATAGTTGGTCTCACAGATGGTGGAGTTGATTATAGTTTTGAATGCATTGGAAATGTCTCAGTAATGAGGGCTGCTTTGGAATGTTTCCATAAGGTGAGTGCTGATGTTAATATTTCTTTCATTCAAGATTAGTGTTGTATCTTTTTTTCATATAATCTCATTTAACATAAAGTTAGTTACCATTGTTTTGATTTTGATTTTGAATTATGTTTTTATCACCTTTCCATTGTTGTTATTTGTGTTAGATTTTATGGGTTGAGTTTTGTGATTTGGTAATATGATGAGTATTATTTATTCAATGAGTTGAAAAGTTATCGTGTTATTCCATCGCGTGTGGATGTGATTTTTTGTTTATCAAATTTTAAATTTAGTATATTCTGTTTTGGTAGTTGAATGATTAGCTTTATGATTTTGGAGCCAAGTAATTTTTCTGAATCTATACGTTTCTTTAGTTCTTAATTTTACAGATGTCAAACAAGGCTATGCTCATCAAGTTAATTGGTGTGAAGGAAAATATACTCATTTTTTTAACTTCTTTATATGGCGTGAAATATTGGCTATAATGGCGTGCTATGACACTGTCGTGAAGAGGAATTTGAGCAAACCTTTATTTTTCATGATTTGCAATTTACAACACTGGTTGAATTGAAATTTTCAGAGAAGCTTCTATGTTGAGAAAGGTTGGAGTTAAATTGGGGTCTAATAAATTTAAGATATATTCTACTACTATATATTATTACCAAATTAGAATTGAGCTTTATCACACAACTAAAATTTCACTCTAACTATTATCTTTGAGGTCTTATCCGACATAGTATCCACTTAGAATTGGGAGTGGAGAATTCAGGGTTTAGTTTGTCTTATGGTTTTATTTTTCATATTGGGTATTGAAAGGAAGCACAATCGGTTTTCATTGGGCCAAATTGTTTGTAAGTATAAAATACAGTGAAGAGAATTATGCTATAGGGTACAATGTTTTTGTTTTCAATTTATCAAAATACCATGTTTTACTAACCATTCATGTTACTGGGAGGCAAAACAACCTTCACCGTTTACACTTATATTTGATTAACTTAGAACTTTGTTGCTTTCTTGCTTGGTAAGATTTGATTTATTAACTATGCATTTGTTTTGTTTTGTTGTATGGGTATGAAAGTATGTTGTTTCTGGAAATGCAATGATATAATATTTAGAATGCTTATGTAAACCTATGAAATTTAAATTGATTTATTTTTATTTCCTTCCCAACTATGCCAATTATATTGTGTTCTCTAAATATGTAAAAGTATTTAATTGATTCTTTGTGATAATATTTACATAATGTTTAATTCTTTCAGATTCTGTGGAAAAACCAACATACGTTAGGTTTTGGGTATCAAACTCTGCAGCTAGTTCTGTCATTGGAAAGGGTGGTTCGACTATCACTGATTTTCAGTCACAATCTAGAGCACGGATTCAGTTGTCACACAATAATGAATTCTTCCTTGGAACTACCGATAGGATTATCATGGTATCTGGTGCTATCACTGAAGTACTACGAGCTGTAGAGCTCATTCTTTCAAAGTTGCTCAGTGAGGTAATCACGGTGATATTGATTTAATTAGCTACTGGAATAAAAAATGTATTGCATTGCTCACTTCTGGGCTTAATTTTCCTTCAATTATCAGCTTCATGGCGAGGATGACAATGATGTTGAACCAAAAGCTAAAGTTAAGAATGTGGCAGAAATGAATAATCATAGTGTGATAAACAGTGTTGGCGAGGTAGTTTTTTTGTTGTTGTTTGATGATTGTAGAATCTATATACAGTAGATAAGATATTAAGATGATTTTTTTGATTTTAGTTATTGTGGTTGGTTTTACTATGCAGATGAGTGGTTATGATGAGACTGGTACTGCTTTGGAACGAGAAGCGTTTATGAAAGAGCTTGGGAGTTTTTATAGGTTGAGGTCCTTGGAATTTAAGCCTCCTAAGTTTTATGGAGTGCCATTGAATTGTCTCAAGTATGTATAAGTGTAATATAATACCCTTCAAATGTATTATTAGAGTAATCTCACTTTACTCACAAGCATTTTCAAAAGGCTACTTTTAGCGAGCGAGCTTGCTTGGGTTCCTTTCCTTTGATACTAGTTTTTGAATGTGTTTATTAACTGATCTGATATAGTGGATTCCGTATTTAACCATCTGCTGCAGGTTATGGAGAGCTGTTATCACATTGGGTGCTATGAATTGGTATGGTCCCACTCTTGTTCTTGCGATATATACTTTTAACAATGATGTTTGATATATACATTTTCCATCTGATGAGGTAAGACTTATTGTTGTTTTGTCTGAGAGCATATCATAACATTCTAGTTTTCTTGATAATATTAAGCTACTAATATTAAGCTACTATTAAGTTAATATATTAAGCTACTATTAAGTGTAATTTGCTTCATTTACCAATAGCTGAAATTCCATGGTAAATGAAGCTTTGGACTTGTTTGATTGTCCCACCTTTAAATGTATGTAGTAATACTGTTTTATTTCATCGATATATTCCAGGACCAGGTGTTATCGAGCATGTAGCAGAAGCTTGACGATCTTTGTGAGCAGCTTAACAATTCTGAAGAGAACAGAGTTGAGTGGTGGTTCATTAGAAAATAAGTGATATAAGAAGAACTCTAGATAGATGACTGTTATGATTATATGCACTCTCAGTGGCTTGTAGTCACTACTGTATTTTAATAGCATATAAAGTTGCATCTCCCTATCATTCTATCTGGTTCGAGTGGGCCATGGTTGCTTTCTAGTACACTGGCTAGAATGCTCTTAATTGACTGAGCAAAACAGTAATGACTACCCCGTGACATTATCCGACATGGTTGACAATATCTTTCACGCATTCTCGTACTTATCTTTGAATTCTTGTGTCGATTTGATTCTAATATTATTTTTCATCATATTTCACTTAATTCTGGTGGTAATTTGTAGGTTGGAAATATTGGTGGTCGAGAATTTGCAGATTTTTTTTTTAAATATTTGCAACTTATGGCGGTTCAAACTTCCACAATATACCATAGTTTTTTTTTAAAAAATATTTTCAACTTGCGACGGTTCAAACCGCCACAATATACCATAGTTTTTTTAAAAAAATATTTGCAATTCGCGACGGTTCGAACCGCCACAATATACTTTCGCAATAAAAAATCATTAAGCAATTTAATACGGTTGAAAACCGTCACAATATGGAGATTATGACAGTTAGCTACCCGTCGTGAAAATAACGACGGTTTGTACGACAATTTTCACAACCGTCGCAATACGGCCTCGCGACGCACGTTTCCGCGACGGAATTGAAACCGTCGTAACTTACAAATTGCGACGGTTAAAACCGTCGTAATCTATCAAAATAAACCGTCGTAAATTGCCAATTTTCTTGTAGTGTTCGTTATGGATTTAGTGTGTTTGTCGTTGGAGGGATTGG